GTTGTGATGAAAATTTTAATTACTCGTATATGGAGTGGTCAGGATAGTATGAGGGGCGGTAAGTCTCCCGTCAGTACCTCCTACAGAAGATATCGGATTGTTCGTAGAAATGTCCCTAAGATATATGTGCAAGAGATCAGTGCCACCAAAATGTAACGGTTGGTACCGAGGGAGGAGCTGAGCTTGACACTAGAAATGAATGAGTCTGTCACTGAAGACACTTATAGAGCACGGAATATCTAGAGATCAACGGCTTATCTCAAGATCCTACAAACTATCTTTTTTGTTGTAGGAGTAACACGACGTAACGACGGGTATACTACCACGCAGTATTCCTCGGATGGGGAAGAGCATCACAAAAATGACTTGGCTTTCAAAAACCCAATATTACATTAATTGCGTTCGTCAGCATGGTGACTTTGGTGTACCTTTTCAATATGTGTATTCTCCGTGCAGGTCACAGTTATTATCAGACTTATTTCGAATGTATCAGACAAAATACTAGATGACCACTTATAAGGCTATTTTGCTTTGTGATTTATTTTGATATATATCTGCACGTGCTGCAGATGGCGGTTGGCTTTACCGAGGGAACATTTTAACGTCATAAACGATTTTTTCTGTGCGAGCCCGAATTGGATTTGCTGAGATAAAAATAATTTTTTTGCTCTGCATCGTTTTCTGTGTCAGAAAGACTGATGCCAAGTAGCAAGTTATGCTGTATATGATTAGCTTATGATTAGCATAGTACAGCAAATTATGCACGTTATGATTGACTTGGCACAGCCACGATTCCGGCGAAAACGCTATATTCTAAAAAGAGTGTACTGCAGACCAGCATGATTGGTTATGTTTTGTTCAAGGCCCTGGACCTAGCTGATCAACATATCATCAAAGGGCATTCATAGACAGCGACATCTTTCGTACTGCAGTAGAATCCTCGAGAGGAATGCTCTGAGAGTGGCCGGTTGTAACACATGATCTGTCTAATATCGCAAGCAATGCTCAATGTTCTGGTGTCACAGCCGTTCAGACCACACCGTGGCAGTACACGAACTCATTTCGACAAAGTATTTATCAATAGTCACGTAGAGTACAGTAGTTGGATGTGTTAATTTACATTGAACACTTGAGCGGTGTTCGAGTAAATGCGCTTCAAAAAGCAGTTCACCAATATCGACAACCATGTTTTCAGCACCGACAAAATCACTTTTCAAGGTTGCTTCATGTGGAGCTAAGCCGCAGACAAATCCCGCAAGATAAGACAATTGCAGATTGCCCAGTGCCTCTGACTCAAAAAAGGACTCGAGAAAGTGGACTAGCTTGGTGAATACTTGCACAGACACAGGGCGAAAACAATGTCGACATGGCACGACACCCGCCATCACTCTTTTGATTGGATGGTAAAGGGTGTTGGGTAGCAGCAAAAGGGGTAGTTTGGAGGGACGCAAAAGAAAGCCTTATGCGTACCTCTATCCTAGCCCCCCAAATCCAGATCGTCCATTCTACAATGTCTGTGACGCTTCATGCTTTCAATAGGCTTCTCGTTGCTCCGGATAGATCCAACGGGTCAGAACGGTTGATCGCTATTGAGTCTGGCCAGCTGAAAGCTGGCGAGAAGATTAATCTTTGTATGACAGAGTCACTTGCAATGAAGTATGTCCTCGTAAAGTAAGGATGTATGTGCTTGGATCAAAAGCCGCTTCTGGATTATATAGCTTATCGTTTGCTGCGCACAGCGATGTCGTCACCTCATCCGTCACAGAAAATGACAAGAAGGGCATCCTCCTTTGCCGAATATATCTGTGCGCCAATGTATAAGCCAGGTCGGTGTAATGTAGTGCCGGGAGCGGTTCGCGCCACGAATTGGTTTCGTCTCATGTCACAATGGTGACGTCGCCAATTGATAAGGCGATAGATACAGCGATGGGTCAGGCGCAACATGTGTGGTGTTGCCGAAAGCTTATGAAAACAAGATTTTTTTGATAATCTAATGTCGCTTTATTGAAGCGCTCGGTTGCGATGTTATACCGCTATTGTATACCCCAAAGCTTGCTGTGATACAGCACTGACTTACTGGACATTCAACGTGCTGTAGTATATCATGTAAAGGACCTTAAGTACATCATACTGTACGATACATGATTGGCCGTCTCAAAAAGATAAGACAGACCACTTGGTAAACGCTATGAACTGGAGATATAACGTGGAAAGCACACATACGCGCGCGTATAGCATGTCAATGGCTTAATTCCTCACCGCATGCGTCGACTTCTTTGGCTAGCTTGCCGTTTTTAAAGATAAGACACACCGATTGGTGAGCGTTATGAACTGGTGATCCAACGTGGAAAGCGCATATATGCGCGCGCGTGTAGCATGTCAATGGCTTAATTTCTCACCGTATGCATCGACTTCATTGGCTAGCTTGCCGTTTTTTTGATTGAGCGCTGGTAGTCCATTGGTTCTCCAAAATTGCTTCCGATTATAACGATTTCTGTAGTCTTTGTGGACCGTCTGAGCAATTAGATACAGTTGCCGTTTTCTGCAATGCCGTGGTCGGCGATGATGCAGCCAAGCTGTTTCTTGACAAAGATCTGGTCAATATGGCTCGCTAGTCTCGATTGTTTCGGATAGAGGTATGCGCTTAATAGCAATTTTCAGCAGACGTTATGAAAGTGCTCAGCACCAGATTAGAGATGTTATACGCTGATCATCCGCAAACAGATGTCCACGCGGAACGCGTGAGTTATGGAGGATATCCTCCAGAGCGCTCGCGAAAAAGAATCGCGGTGCTGGAGCAAGTTGCTTCTACTCATTTTAAATGTGCTAAAAATACCGTACAGATCGCTACAGATTTTACTTTATCATACATGCCTGATTTGGTAAATCCTCGGGCGCGGTTGATTCCGCCACGAAGTGGCTCTAATCTAAGGAGGGCTACCGATCAACATAGACTTGCTGTTATCATCCCGGCTACAATTTGTAGCAAAACCTGTGACTTCGTCTGAGCGTCATGTGAAGAGTTTGGGACGCAACGGCAGGGATACAGCTTAACCAATAGTAACACGCCGATGGCAAAGGCAAGCGGAACCAGGGATTGCTGTAGGGCAAAAGGTTTTATTGAGTTGAATAAACCTACCTAGCGCTCGCGGTCTATAAAGCTAAGATGCGCTCGGACCATATCGCACCGTTGACGTTTTGACGAGGACACGATTGAAATATTATATGAAAATCCCCAGAAGAATGAGGACTCTCGGGATTTTTGTGGGCTTACCGAAGCAATATTACGATCCCGGTCTTTCGATCCAGTCAGATGAAAAGAGCTCTGTTACAGACGAAGCGTTCTCTCCGCCATTCCCTATAGTCGAGTTACCCTCTGCTTCAAAGGTGGTTTGAAACACTGAGAGTGCCTCAAGCCCGGCAATGCGATGACAAAATTTAGATTGCACACCCGACCTCTGGCTCGCCTCAGCTTCGGACATACGCCGTTAATCTCGGAGAGAGTCTTCATGTCGTTACAACCGAGAGAGCTCAATAAAGCCAGCCGCGGGGGGAAACCACAACGGTATTGCTAGATGTTGCTCTGTAGCGGGGCGAGGGCTGTTCTATCAGCACACAGTGATGTGGAAGGGTTACTCTCAGGAAATTTTGAGTGACATTTCAGCAGGATGGCCCTCGTGTTGTGGCCTTTCATGGCCTGACGCACCTTCGGCCTTTGTCTCTTGTTGAGGAAAGATATAGTCGCCGTTGCAGCGTGCTGCTCACTAGTGGCAGGTGATCGACTTGCGGTGACAAAGACCTCGGTCGGTAGCTATAACAGCTGTCTCATAAAGCCGAGCGGGTTTGTTAGCAGCAAAAACGGACGGTTATGGATTGTCACCTCAATGTCCGCTTTGCTGAAGTTGGCTTGTAAGACATTACGACGCTTCTGGACATCTCGTCCATCTCAAGAAGAGCATCTACTGCAGGCATAGCCTGGAGGCGGTCGTCGCCATCTTACTCTCCCGTCATACTGTTGACGAGGGTGTATAACTGTGCGCCATCGTCTACGGTAGACAAACCCTGGATCAGGGTCGACGCCCGATGTCTTGTAGCCAGCATACGGCGTCACCGTCGCCTCTGTACAAAGGTTCTATGTCTCGGTGAGACCAGGGTGAACACGCATTCCGCGTCGTCCAGTGTCACCCTTACTGTCCGCTCCTTTGGAGCTCCGATGTTATGTACAACATCCGAAGAAGAGCTGCTAACACCGCAGTCTTCGTCCAGTGGATAACGTGCCACTCCACGCGCATCTGTAGGGCCGTGCCCAAGATGCCTCGGACTCTGTCCGACAACGCCATCAATGGCATGCAGCGACTGCTTCGCGACGAGAGCAGTGCTCAGTGGTTACGTGCCACTTCACATGCATCACGGGGACATCTTCTCGATGCCTCGGCCCTTGGCCGACCATGTCACGCATGACATGCAGCGACTGCTCCGAAACTTGAGCAGCGCTCAGCGGGTTACGTGCCGCTCCACGATCAGCCCGCGAGCCACGCTCGGGACTCCTGTCTGATACACCGTTGGTGTCTTCCAACTCGGACATTCCAATGTCCAGCACGTCGACCGTCTCGGTCCAGTGCTCTCGCCAATAGCGCTTTTGTCTCCTAGCAGAGATGGGTTCATGACTCGTCAAAGCCTCACCCAGAATGCTTTGGCTGATGCGTTGTCACGCAGACCAGACTATGAGCTTGCTCATGTTACAGAATGCTTTGGCTGATGCGTTGTCACGCAGACCAGAATATAAGCTTGCTCATGTTACAATGGGATGTGTGTTGCGTTGCTACGGGCTCTAGGGAAACTTGGACAAGAAATTGTCATCAAGATTGTGTGCACGATTGCACCGATATTCGTTTAATAACGATTTTTCTATATTATAGCACCGATTCAACGGATACACCACAAATTGTGGTTCCTCATGATGAGGATTTGAAATATCGCATCCTCAATGAGGCTCACGACACGCCACTTGGCGGTCATCTCGGTTGTGAGAAAGCGTACAACTCTGTGAGTCACCACTATTGGTGGCCCAAGCTGTACAAATG